AAGTAGGGCGTAATGGTGCATAACAGTTACTTGGGAAGACAAATGCCATAATTCCAAACGTTTCTGCTTCCTCCTCCTTTGCCCCAGCTTCATTGCTGAGCATGACATAATATGGTATGGGATATCCCTCTGGTCATTTGGGGTGAGTTGTCCTGGCTGTGTCCCCTCCCAGCTTGTGCACTTGCAGCCTACTGAGTGGCAGGGCAGTATGAGAAAAAGAGATGGCCTCGATGCTGTGCAAGCACTGTTCAGCAATAGCTCAAACATTGGTGTGTTATCCACACAGTTCTGGATGAACTGCTGTGAAGAAAACTAGCTGTATCCCAGCCAAAAGCTGTAGTGTCTGAAAGGAAGGGAGACAGGATTAATGCAAGAAATGGAGAATAGGCGGCTGCAATAGCCTGACCAGAAGAGATCAAAAATTCCTGTGTGAGCTACCACGCAGTTGTGACTTATCTATAAATGCTTTGGCATAATAAAGCAAGTAATAGACTGGCCACTAGTGTGGTATGTTTTGGCATACCTTCAGTGGTTATTCTGGACAAATATGCAACCTATTGAGGACTGGGCATATATATGGTTCTCTTTCACACGTTTCTTCTGCAGCTTCTCCTGTAGTACACAACAGAACTGTACTCAGTGCTTCTTTTTGTATGTATGCATGTCAGTGTCCTCTAAATTGTATAAATAAAAGAGGCAAATGCTATTTCTTTCTACTAGATATGATGTTTGAGTAAAGTGAAATTTCACCTCTTTGCTTTGCAATGTAGATATCACCACTGTGGTGAGCTAAACACCAGTGAAGTTTGATCTTGTCAGTCTATCAAGCTGATCAGCAATTTCATGCCAAGACTGGGGTCCTCTATAGAGGGCTAAACTCAGTGTATACATACATAATTAACTGTAATTTTAGTATAGCTCCTCAGGTTGACTTAATGAAAACTGTATTGGGTTTATTCTTTAATACATTTATTACAGTAGATTATTCAGTAGCAGAGAGAACCAGTCACAACTGAGCAACTTTTGCCATGTTCGTAATTGCTGTTCATAACTTTGAGAAGGTGAAAAATGTTCTACTGATAAGGCTGATCTTGCTGATGCAGAAGGTGGAGGGGAGAAAAGGAGGCATATCCCTCTGACAATTAAGAAATCCTATTGAATTCTTCCAGTTTATTTCTCTCTCTTTCAAAAGGCTATGTGATCACATCATCAACATCTTAATTTTTTTCTTTAAATTAATGCAGATAGTTATTTCTTTGCCAGGTTCCTCCAGTCATCATTCCCACAACTTGCTTCACATAATCCCTGCTCTATTCTCACCTCCACGATCCCATTCAGTTTGAGTTTGTACAGGGAAATTTTGCAAGCTAAAGTTGTTCCAGTGTGTTTCCTTCTTGGCACCATACCCCTCCAAAGTTTTTATGTTTTTGAAGTCAACCTTCTGGAAGGACATGAAACACCACAGGCAATCATAATTTTGTGTTAATGACACTATTTGTCGGTGAATTCAGAAGTGAAGTTTTCAGTTAATTAAATATGAAAAATAATCAAAAAGTGCAACAGGCCCTGTTATTTTGATATTATGTTCCATTTATTTACTGCACTTTCAGCTTTCAGTATTACGCAGATTTTGTGCATTAACAATAAAATCTGAAAAATAAGAATGAATGAAAAGCATGTTCTGATCAGTTAACCATGGAAATCTAAAATCCTGCAGTTTAACACTTGTCTACAAACCAAAAGTCATTGACTAAATTTTCAGGTTACGGTCTTATAGTCTCAAGTAGCTGGAAATGGAATAATTGCTGTTGTAACTATTTAAATGCATTCCCTGTGATCTAATTGCTTTTGCTTTAAATTATTATGCCCGTTCCTCATTTAGCATGCCCAATACATCCACTTAGACTTACATGATTCATTTTGTCTTCACTTTAGGATAGATTAAAATGTTGTTGCACTCTTGAAACAGGAAGTTAGGACTAAGAATGTGTAATTTATCTGAAACTCAAGTAAATGCTATTTAGGTTAATGTTCAGCTGGTTTGAAATAGGTCTCTGAAGGCACAGACTAGGACTGGTCTAGGCTACAAGTGCTGCCTCCTGTTGCCATTGAGCATTCCCTCTGTTTGTGCAAATATTATGCACTTCAGGGTAGCAGTATATAGCAAATAGAGAGTGTGTGCACTGCATTGTGTATTCCACCCTAGACTGTGCTTTTCTGCATGCTGATACATACCCAGTTGCTTTGGTTTATTTTCATCACAGAAAATATATATGCTGTGACTGAAGGGGGATGCAGAATAGTCCCTTTTCAGGTGAAGGGTGAGGGAAAGGAATAATGCTTAATGGCTGCTACTGGCTGGCAAAATGTTGTATGTAAATTAATGCATTTTGACTTTTTGTGTGGACAGATGGTAGGTTAAGGCAAACCTAAAGATATTCCCTCCCATGATGATTTTGTAAATCAGCATAGCAGATTGTCAGTTTGTACACTGTTCTAATGGGACAAATTTTTTGACTGCTGGGTTGTTGCGTGGCACTAAAACTGTGTGAATTGTACCTCAGTTCTGTATCCTGGCAAATCAATGTTTGCAAGTATCTGCAATCATTCAGTCAGATTCCTGAGTGACTCTGCCTGTGAAGGATAATAATTTCTGGCATCTTAATCTCCCTTCTTTTAGTGCTAATGTCTAAAAAGGCCATGATTATATTTAATTTTGTGAAATCCAGCACGCAGCTTTTAATTTGGCTGAGTTCTGCAGCTCTATCCAGCCACCTCCTCCCCCCAGCTCCCAAGAAAGAAAACTTTCCTCACAGTAAAATGGATAAATTTCCATTTCAGTCCCTCTAATAGTGCTCTCCAGCTCTGGATGGCTGAAATGCCTTCTATTTTGTCCTTTGCTAGCCTCCTTTTGCCAATATATAAACAGTATATTCACTCTAGGAAACAACTTTATATGCACTTCTGCAGTGAGCATAGGAAACATTGCTGTCCAAAGAGAGCAGCTGAGGTACTCTTTGAAACTGAGAAGCCCTAACACCCACCTTGACAGGCTTGACTCAGCATATTAATTTGAAATTTCAATCTCACTGCTGACTCCTATATTGTGTCAGATTTTGTGTTTGGAATTTAGCCTTGTATCATAGTTGTTTCTGAAATTATATTTATAACCAAAGCAGGAAGATAAAGTTATTTAAAAAACCCCTCATATCAAATTCCTTGGAAGGAATGGTTTATGTTACTAAGCACTCCCCAAGCCTCTGGTTTTTGATTCTGGGTAAGAAAGCAATATGAACAGCAGCTGACTTGCTGATCCCTGTCTTCGCTTAAAAGTCAGAGCTTAGGCATTCATTTAGAGGACTGAATGCTTTTTTTTTCTTTTCACTAGAGCCTGTACATTTCTTCTGACATTCACAGTTAATATTGATACTCTGTAGGCCAGAAAATATTACTAGAGAAAGAATGCATCAAGGCTGATTCTGTTTTGAATGGAGTTGGTGGCAGTTTAACCATTGCTTGTAAAAGGAGGAACACTAGAGTAAAAAGGATTTATAGTTCAGACGTGTTTCATGGTTGTGCATCTGTATGATACAGATTTACTCACGCTATTTTGAATATATTTTAAAAAGACAGTCTCTCTTATTTTCTAGGGCATTGTCTTGTTTTTAGTCTCTCCATAATTAGTTTCTATTTATAGAGCAGATCAAGAGAAGTACTTCGCAGATGTCAAAAAGATTCATGTTTTCTCACATATAAGTGCTTTTTGCTTTAACTTTATGCAAATACTTTGTTATTAATGCTTTTTAAAAGACCACAGGAGGTATATAGACTTTTTTGTATTATTAATACCAGCCATTTGTTTTTTGCTTTCATTTGTAAGTAATTCAAACTCTGCCACAGAAAGGAAAAATGGGCTATATGTATTTAAGTGTACACATAAAGATTAAAAGGATTGCAGTCTTCATTTTTTTTTTTTCAGTCACCTACATCCCTGTAATAGGATCTCTAACATGAAAGTTCTATTTTACAAAGTGCTATTATCAACACTTGTTTCTATTTTTCATCTTGGAAAAACATTTAATTTCCAATTTAAGTTCTCACTACATATTTTTCAGTTCCCATATATTATAAATACACCTTCTGTGTCTCAAGAGGTTAGGTAATTTATTGCTTTTGACTCAATAAAATTCTACTCAAAAAATGCTACTGAAATTTTTGTAAAATATCATGTGAGATTTAAAAAAAAGTGATGAGTAGAGTTACTATCATCCTAGTCACAGGTTGTGAGTTTAAATGCATGTTCCTGTGAACTGTATTCTGTATGCTAGTATTGTTGTATGTTCTATTCTGTATGACTTTATTCAAAAGTCCTTTGTAGCTGCAAATAAAATGTAACTATTCCCTTTTAATATGATGCTAATAATGAAGTGGTAGATGCATAAAACAAAGTATTTAAAGCATGTAGATGTTCTAGATACCATGATAGCATAGAAAAGAAAGACATCATGAATAATGAGAAACTTATATTTAAAGTGAGAGTCCTTTTATAGAGCCACAGCAAACCCCTCCTTTCTCAACCTTCAAATTACTTCACACTGCCTTAAGATGACATAATAATGGAAGTATCCTTTGTTCTGTGGAACTATCCCATAGAAAAAATGTTCTTTAGTAGTGGCTTTTGTATTTGTGCTACACAATATTCTCAAATAATTAATTTCAGCCTTTATATTGTGTTGTCCATCTTGGATTGTAAAGGGGGGAGAACTTTCTTAGGTTTTCTTATCCTTTTAAATACTTACATTTAGTGTAAAGAATCAAATCAAAATCTTTAATCATTAACAGCCCAAAGAACTGTTAAACAATAAAAAAGGCAGTCAACACAGTTTAATAAAAGCTGCACTATCCAATGAAATCATATAATACTGTGCATTTATACTGTTGTATTAGCTATAAAAAATCTAAACCAGTTTATAATATTGTACAGTTATGTAGGTACTTACCATTTTAAAAGCAGCATCAAATGGAATTGGTGGAAAGTCCCAAGGTGTAATCAATAATTGATTAAGATGATGAGCCTTTATGGTATTCTTTTGAAGTGCACAATCTGAAATTAGAGGAAATTTACTGACAGTTGTATCTTTTTTTGAAAGAAGGATTGCTCAGACATGTATTAACAACAAAATCAATGTCTATTGCCTTCTACAGAGTACAAGGAGAGCGATTTATTTTGAAAATGTCTTTCAGCCGGGTAACTAGGTAACTTACACTGTGCTACATGAGCAGGTTTGGATTCCATTTTGTGAAGCAGGATTCCAGTGCAATGAGTGAAGGAAACAGATGGAGTAGAAGGAGGACAGATGGGTACCAAAAAATTACAGCTACCGTTTTCAGTACCTGTGCATTAACTGCCATAAATCAATTTATTTTCATTTACTAAAAAAGGAAAATCACAGATTATGATGCCAAAACATTACAGGGCCCCAAACCGCTCTATGTTGAAAGCATATTTATACTGGTTAATAAATTCTATATGGGCTACATATGAGAGTAAAATTTTCTGCAGGCAAGAACCTCACCCCCAGTCCAGCCATTTCATTCTGGGAGATTTAAATATCTCTCATTCAGTGGGGGGAAGGTTTATTGGCTATTCTGCCATATTGGACAGCTATAAAGCTTTGCTTGTAGACCAGAGGTGGGCTACTGAAGTCGTACAGTGAGTGCTAGGGCGCTGCTCCACCATGAAGGCTCCAAGCAGACTGGGAAGGAGCTGAGCCTGGAGAATCCAAAGTAAAGGCTGAGAGTGCAGGAGGCCACTTTCTCTCCTGCAGCAGCCTTCAAATGCAAAACAAAAATGGTGGATTAGAAAATCAGAACAAATTTACTATATATATACCAGCAGTCCTTATCTGTTGCATGGCACAGCTGCTCTGTTACATACTTGACCTTGACTTAATTTGATCATCCCTGTGTTTAAACAGGAAGTTCAGCTGTGAGCCAAATAATTTCTTAACACCCCTCACCCCACCAGTAACTGCCAGCTTGTTGCTGATACTGTTGAATTTTTATATGAACACCTGTCTGTTAGAAATTGTATGATACCCATCCATCCAATTTACATTTCTTTCAGAACATCTTCCAATTAGTGGACTTTCAAAACTGTAGAATACAATAGAAATCACTCTTGTAATCAAAATATTTAAGAAATGAAGAAATATAGGTCAGAATATATAATTACTCTCATTCTTTTTGAATTTATAACAGGAAGTTTTCTTTCATAGAAGCATTGCATGAATAGCCACTATATTTTGGTGCAGCAAGGCAAAAATATGAAAAAGTCTGTAACTAAAGTATCTTGGAATTGGCATTCTGTCTGATTTTCTCTCAGTTCCTTTTAAAGTTTCCTATTAATAGTTTGAATTAAAAGTTCACAATTGTCTTAAATTTTTCAAAATAATTTTCTAATTAAAAATATCCATTTTAGGGGTTAGGCTCACTACTTCTGTAATAAAACATAAATCAAATATGGTGCTTTGTCTTCATAGGAAAAAAGAATAGTTAGACTTTATCCATCAATCTATAAAATGCAATTTAGAGCTTAATGTGGCAAAACCTGAATTTTTTAATTTGTTAGCTGACTGTAGATTACCTTCCCTATATTATCTCATTCAAGGTGAACATTGCAGTGCTGGCTATCATGAGTGCTAGAGGCTGGTGTACAGTCTTCAGCCATAAACAAGTCCCATTCAAAACTCATCATCTTCTCCTCCTACCTTTACACAGATCTCCGTTCAGTTGGGATGTAGCCTATGAATCAGGCAAATAGCTCAGAAGGGGTGTGGTGGGATAAACAGGAAGGAAATGGTTTGTCTTGGATTCATAATTGAAGTGGAAGAAAAATAATAGTTTGGTTTCCTTCAATTAGAAAACATTAACGATCTGAATCTAGTTTTAGAACAGCTCTATTTATGCAGATACAAATATGATACTTTTTTTGGGGGGTGTTTTTTTTGTTTGGTTTTGTTGGGGTTTTTTTTGAGTTGCAGAAACTTTAATATGGTTGCCATTATTTTTTTTTTCTACTGGGACTTACTGGAAAATTCCATATCTCTGTAGTCACTGAGCTTCTTTGCCTCCCCCACCAATCGCTCCTTTTCCAGTCTGAGTTTGGAATAAAATAGACATGGAATAATGTTTCCTTTAAGCAGGTAGGAGATAAACTATCCAGCTTTCTTAAGCCATCTGTCTGAAAGAGATAGTTTAAAATCTTAACCAAGATCAAAACAGTGAGGAATTCTTTTTGATTTTTGTAATTTGAAAATGGAAAGGAATTATAGCATATTCATTTTGAAAGCATAGAATTGCATTGAAAATTAAACGCAGACTGAATTTTACTATTTACTACTACAATTCTTTTGAAAACAAACAAGCCTGCAACACACAAAGTAGGCACTCTTAAATCCTTATTAAAAGTAATGGCCACTAATAAGTCTGCCCTAATAGATAACCCTTCAGCCCCTTGAAACCTGGCACCATGTAGTGTCAGGAACATCTTGATACTAGTACAGGGGAGTAGTATAATTATTTTGATCCATGTAAGTTAGACACGAAGAGAAGATAGTCCAAGGAGAAGGAAAAGACCATTCTGCTGTCAGTACTTATCAGCAGTAACTCTAAGTGATGTGCAACTTTGTTTATATATTTGATTTGTATTCAGCCCAGAATGAGATTGCCCTTTCTCAAATGGCTTGATCGCTTTTAATTCCCTAGAGAATGCTTTTAGAAAAGACCAATCTTGTACAAGGGTCTTGCTGATCACTAAATGTGCGTCTTCTTGCCCTTATGTGAAGAGAGCAAGAACGTGTATGCACTGCAGAGAATAGAGCCCTTTGTTAAAAATTGCCTGGCAGTCCTCAGCAATTAGGTGCTGGAGACTGTCACCCAAGTGCTAAGGCTAAGTTGCAGCAAATGTCAAATGTCTCTAAAGTGGTCAAAATGCAAGTGTTTGGTCTTGTTTATACCTAATACAAAAGATGGTACAGTAGATTAAATGCGTCCTTGCACTATCATCTCTGTGGTTTTGGTTCCACTGTTCTGCTTGGAGGAAGCATCTGTACAAGTTAGCTTATTAAAGTAATGTAAGATGACTGTGAAACAGCTGTGGGGCATAATGTGAAAAGAAAGGTCATAATCTTCTGTACAAGTACAAATGGGAATAAATGCCTGGTATATTTGCTGCTTTTGGAGCATCTATCAAGAACTGAGTATCCAGCAAGATTCCCATGCAGGAAATTACTCTTACCAAGGAATTGTTTCTTTCTGTATTTTTGTCAGTCAGACAATCATTTGCAAATGAGTTGAGCTTCATCATCTAAGCTGCAAGTTGAAACAAGTGTATTCTGTTCTCTATGTATATGCAATATATATGAATTAATCTATTGGATTAGTTCAGTTACTAAAATCAACCAAACAGCAGATTCCATTCTGTATATGAAATTAGAATCTTAAGTTAAAGTAGGTTTCATTATTTCAGATAATGATAAACCTTTCAAATTAGTTACTTCAGTTTGGTTTTCAACAGCATGCATGACTACAAATGAGAGTGGATTATGAAGATAATAGTATAACCCATATAATTGGTAAAGGAATATGCCAGAAAGAGTTTGGGGGGCCTGGGAGTTCAGGATCCCCACCTTAACTTTGTGTGCCCTAATTCAGGTGTGACTGGCTATGGGAAGTGTGCTGTGTGTGTTTCAACCATCCTCCTCAACAGAATCATGCTAGCCAGCAGTCACAAGGCCCTAATACTTTTACTGGTAGAGAGTAATTACAGAATACTAGGTATTGTAGTATTAAAAAAAAAAAAAAAAAAAAAAAAAAAAAAAAAAAAAAAAAAAAAAAGTTATTACTCTCTTTTCCACCACTGATGAATTGAATGGTCTGTAAATAACACTTTCTTTTCACCTCGTATGTGTCCTTGCACAAAAATGCTGCTATTGAATTGTTCTGAATATGTCTTTGCTTAATTTCAAAGTTCAAATTAGTGATAGTAATAACCTTGGTCTCTGCTTTGCTGTTTCACTGTTAAGTAGTACATTAACAAAGAAACGTAAAACTCAGTGTAACTGATGGCTGTTAACATTTCTTCTTGTATCTTTGGGGATTCTCATATACTATTCTTAGTTACTTATTCCAGAATCTTTAAAAAAAAAAAAAAGGTTTTGGGCAAACACTTTTTCCTCCTGACAGTTATTATTCTTACTGAAATTGAAACCTCTTCTTTGTGAGGGAGAAGAAAGTATAAAGACTTGAGGCAGGTTTTAACAATCTTAAGCCGTGACTAAAGCCAATTTAGATTAGTTGGCTTGAGCGAATGTAGGGAAATGCTGAGGGGAGGTGGTCAGGAAAATGAAAAATAAACATAGGCAAACAGGAAAAATATAGCAAGGAATATGATGAAGAAAAGAGCAAATTAAGGTATGAAGGCACCTAGAGATTGGAGAGACAACAGTGATTATTAGAAATAGGATAGCAAAAAAACAGAGGAAAACATAGCAAGAAACAGAGAGAGAGCAAGTGTAAAAAGGTTAGGACTAAGAGGAAGGTTTTCTGAAGATAACACCTATCTGTCAATGTGTCTGATTTCTTTTGTTCCAGATTCTGATTTCATGATCCCCCTCATCTCTCATATCCTGTTGACTTGTAGGCTTTTTTCCCAAGCAATCCAGCTAGATGTGGTAAGAACGTGGTAAATTTATTCCTGCTAGGTCTGAACACTGTGGGTATGAGCTGCTGCTCACTAACTGCTCTAGGAACTGATGCTGGTTTCTTCCATAGCCCCCCCAAACAGTATATATGTGGCTTTAATTATTCTAGCAGTGAGTTTGTTACCGCATGTGTAACTATGTATAGAGGTCTGTAAAATGTTTAGATGTGAACATGAATCTCATCTGCTATAAAGAAAATGTATGCTTTTAGTATACTAGGTCCTTATTTGCCCTTATTAATTCAACTGTTCTTTCCACACTGGTAAATAAGCCTTTTAAAAGAATAAATTTAATTTTATTTTTCACTAAATAGTCACATGAAAAGTTGCTGTGATTAATC